AGCCACCCAGGCGCCCCTGTGATGATTTCTTTCTTTTCTTCAGCTTCGTTGAGGTATAATTGACCCATAAAAGCTACATACATTTAAGGTATACAGTATGAGGCTTTGTTATATGTATGTATTGTAAAGTGATCACCACCAGCTAATATCCATCAGCTCATGTGGATACTGTTGCCTCTCTTTACATTTTTCTTTTCTTCCTTCCTTCCTTCCCTTTTTCTTTTCTTTTTTTTCCTCTCTTTCTCTCTCTCTCTCTTAAGATCTACCCCTACTATTCTATTCTCTGCTGCTGAGTTGGACTCTTAGATTCCACATATAAATGAGACCCTGCAGAGTTTGTCTTTCTCCGTCTGGCTTATTTCACTTGGTATCCTGTCCTCCAGGTTTATCCATGTGGTCACAAAAGGCAGGATCTCCTTTTCTAAGACTGGATAATACTCTAGTGTGTGTGTCTCTTGTGATAAATTCTTCCAACTTGTGTATGTCTAAGAACATCCTTATCCCCACTTTGAAGGATACTCTTGCTTGGTACAGGATTCTGGGTTGACCAGGTTTTCCTTTCCAGACTCCACAGTCTTACTGCTTGTGTTATTTCTAAGATGAAATTAGGTATAATTCTTCTTGTTCCTTCATACAGATTATTTTGTTTTGCTTTATTCTCTATGCTTGTATGATTCTGTCGCTGGTTTTCAGCAGTTCACTGTTGTAATCTACTTTGCCTTTCTTGTGCTTGGGGATCTTTGAGCCTCTTGGATCTGTGAGCTTACAGTTGCCCTCAAATTTGGGAAGGTTTTGGTGATTATCTCTTCAGATGCTTTCTGCCTCCCATCCCTTCTTATCGGGGTCCTCTGACTATATGGATATTGAGTTTCTTAGTGTGTTCCCACGGTTTACTGACGTTCTCCCTTTATGTTTCCAGGATTTTGTTCTGTTTCTCGGATCATTTCTACTATGTTTTCAAGTTCACTAGTCTTTTTTTTTTTTTCCTCTTGCAGATATATATTCTGTTAATGCCATGCAGTGTATTTCTTGTCTCACATCCTATAGTTTTTATCTCTAGAAATTTGACTTAGGTCTTGATTATAGCTTCAGTGTCTCTGATGAACACAGCTGACATTATTAGAGGTCCTGTGTCTCTGCTTCGCACGTCTGGTGTTCCCTCCGGCGTCCCGAGTGGAACGCAGTTACAGTAACGGTCTTCACAGCCTGTCTCCTAACACTACCATCTGTGTCATTTCTCGCCACGCTTCAGATGATTGGTTTGCCGCCTTGCCATGAATTGTGTTTTTCTATTTCTGTGTGAATTATGAATTGTGTTTTCCTGCTTCTTTGCACACTTGTACATTTTTTACTGGACGCCAGACATTGTGAACTTCATCTTGTTGGGTGCTTGGGACATTACGATTGACAAGAAATATGTTTTTGGTATTTGTCTCCATTTCTGGCACAGAGCTCCTGAAACTTTTGGAATTTCCTAAGCGATAAGATGTCTTGTGTTATGTTAATAAGGTGACTTTGGAAAGCATCCTAGGGTAGGGCTGGCCTTTGATTATTGTTGAAACTCTCGGTCCCGCCCCCTTTCCTCCAGGGAGGGAGAGTGGCTGGAGGTTGAAGCAGTTCTGTCTGTGCAATGAAACCACCATAAAACCCAAAAGGAGAGGGTTTGGAGCGCTTTCAGGCTGGTGAACACGGGGGACTGTGGGGAGAGTGGCCCTTGGAGGGCACAGAAGCTCCGCCCCCTTCCATGGACCTTGCCCTGGGCATCACTTCCATCTGGCTGTTCCTGAGTTACATTCTTCTAAAAAATAAATAAATAAATTTATTTATTTATTTATTTAATCTATCTATCTATCATCTATCTATCTATCATCTATCTATCTGTCTATCTATCTATCTATCTATCTATCTATCAGAGCATGAGCAGGAGGAGGGGCAGAGGTAGAGGGAGAAGCAGGCTCCCTGCTGAGCAGGGAGCCCGACGGGGGGCTGGATCCCAGGACCCTGAGATCATGACCCGAGGTGAAGGCAGACACTTAACTGACTGAGCCACCCAGGCGCCCCCTGAGTTATATTCTTTTATAACAAGCCAGTAATCTGGGCACCTGGGTGGCTCAGTTGGTTATGCGACTGCCTTCGGCTCAGGTCATGATCCCGGAGTCCTGGGATCGAGCCCCACATCGGGCTCCCTGCTCAGCGGGGGTCTGCTTCTCCCTCTGACCCTCCCCCTCTCATGTGCTCTCTCTCATTCTCTCTTTCTCTCTCAAATAAATAAATAAAATCTTTAAAAAAAAAAAAATAAGCCAGTAATCTAGTAAGAAAGCTGCTTCTCTTAGTTCCATGAGCCGCTCTAGCGAATTAATCAAGCTCAGGGTGGGGGGTGGTTGGTCCCTCCGATCTGTAGCCAGTGGGTCTTCTGAAGCACAGGTGACGAGAGTCTGGGCTTTTAAGTGACGTCAGAAGTAGTGGGGGAGGGGGGCGGGCTTGTAGGGCTGAGCCCTTAACCTGTGGGATCTGATGCTGTTTCTGGGTAGATAGTGTCAGAAGTGAGTTGAATTCCTGGACATCCTGCTGGTGTGTGAGAATCGCCTGTTGGTAATTTAACCCTCAACACGTTGAAATTGGGTCCAGGTACCCAAAAGGGTGCTGAATACTTTTGTCTTCTTGCAGGTATTCTTGACATGTGTCCTGGGTCACGTTTAAGTCACTTAGAGTCCTGTGTTGTCTCGCTCTGAAGCTTCTTTAGATGAGATCAGAGCAAAGTGCAGGGCGTGGTTCCTTTCCCCCGGGACAGACGAGAGATCCTTAGGACTCTTAACTGATGCCCTTTGAATTGGGCTTGGGTTTTTGGCCTTTTTTTTCTTTTTTCACTCTGAGAAACAGCAAACAGGAAGCAGTTGGCAGTAGGTACTGTTCTCGGCCCTAGCTGGGAGCTCCGAGCTCTGTTCTTTCCAATCCTTTCGAGTGGTCCTTTGACCAGCCTTCGTTCAATTTTGGTCAGCACTCAGCTGAAGGCTCGGGGGAGGCCCTCCAGAGATGCATGGAATTTCTATCTAAAGCCACCTCCTGCCCTGCATTGTGCCTTCAAACTCCAGGAGCCTCAGCCCTGCCCCCCCAGCCCAGGAGGCTGCCCACCTCTGCCTGTGTCCCCCACCCTGCACCATAACCCCAAACATTCTCAAGGCAACTGTCGGGCTCCCTTCATTGTCTTCCCGTCTCTCGGGACTTCTCGCTCCTTGCTCAGTTAGCAGTATCTTCAGAGCCTTTCTTTCTTCACGTATTTCGCCCAATATTTTAGTTGTTTCAGGTCACGGGGTCAATCTGGCCCCTCTTACTCCATCTTGTCTGGAAGTAGAGATGGTTTCCGGTGATTTTCATTGCCTCCCGTCACGTTGTGCAGGGGTTTTGGTGTCTTTGCGTGAAGCACGCCTCACCCACATTAGTGTATGTGTTAAAGCTTCTCTTTTCGCGAAGCAAGTAAGTTTTTAAGAAGACAAATGACCTGTGGGAAGGCATTTGCCACTTAAGATTCTACCATATAAAGGATTCTTACAAATCAGGAGAAGAAGAAATTGTAACAGAAATATAAATGGCCAGGGAGTGTGTGTTTTATTTTATTTTTTTAAGTTTTATTTATTTATTTGACAGAGAGAGACACAGCGAGAGAGGGAACACAAGCAGGGGGAGTGGGAGAGGGAGAAGCAGCTTCCCGCTGAGCAGGGAGCCTGACGCGGGGCTCGATCCCAGGACCCTGGGATCATGACCTGAGCCGAAGGCAGATGCTTAATGACTGAACCACCCAGGCGCCCTGTGTGTGTGTTTTAAATGGTGGCTTTAGCCATGGGCATTTTGGGCCCTAGGTGAACAAAAGGCCAGCCTCCCTCTGCTTCTGGGTGTTTGCAGGCTCTTGTGCATTGCTGGACTCTTCGAGGCCACGCAGAAGCAGCCATGAATCCACATAAACAGAATCCACATTAGCAAGGAAATTGTTCTAACCGAATCTGTTTTTTCCCTCATTTTAAACCATTCTGATAAGGCCACTGTTATGTTATTTTGACTTTTTCTTTCCTCAATTAAAAACAAACAAACAAAAAGGATGTTATTTGGCAGGCATTAGGGTCTTGAGGCTTTAGTTACAGAGAAATGAAATGCATAGCAACATTGTTTTTTCGTGCCTAAATGTTCATTATGGTAATTCAACATGGGTGAGGTGGGTAACAAGGCCTTTTGCATTTTCCAAGTGAAACGTAACATGCCAGATAAATTCTCTACTTCTGAGAAGGGCAGATACGTCTGATGTAGAGAATCCCCTGGAAGAGCATTTCCCCATGCTGGCATGGGTCTCCAGGTGAATCGTCACCGTGTGTCCCTTTGTTCCCGGGCAGGCTGTGAATTCCATGTCGCCCTCACGTGTACCGTTCCTGATTCCAGGGCCTCCCTGCACTGTCGATGGGACGCGGGGACATGCATGGGGCAGGGGAGAATCTCCGGGTCTGACCGGGTGGTCTTGGAGTCCATTCGGACGGGGGGTCGGGCTGGTAGGAGGACCGTCACCAGAGAGCATGAAGTCAGGTTGACTGCGCCGGGGCCATCCCGTGATTCGGGCAGGCTCTGCCGAGCTCCCGGCCGCAGGTCCCGTGGCGCTCCCTGCCTCCCCTGTCCCTCCCAGCCGGCCCATACAGCTGTCCCCACCAGGCCCTGAGCTCCGCACGCTCACCCGCAGCCTTGGCCTCCCCAGAGCGCCTCATGCTTCTGCCCGGGCCCTTCGGCGTTGCACGTTGCTCTCCACCTCGTCGGCTCAGCACCTGCAGTCCTTGAAACGTGCTGTGCTGGGGGGCAGCGACTGGACCGTCTGAAGGCCCGCTGCCACAGAGCGCGCCCCCCTTGGCGCCTGCCCCGGGAGGCCGTGGGGTCATAGGCGGATGTTCTCTCTTTTCCAGAGGGTGCGGACGGACAGACTGCTCATTTCATAGCTGAGGATTTTCCCCCTTCTGTCTCCTCAGAAACTGCAGGTGCTCCAGTGTCGGAAATCTCTGGGCCTTTCTCAACAGACGACGTAGCCAGCAACTGCGTCCCCGCCCTGCCTTTGAATGAGCCCATTTTGTGGATCGTCTCTTACACGCTCATGAGCGTGTGTGGAATCATCCTTCTCATCCTGATCATCCTGTTGCTGCTGCCCTTTCGGTGTCGGCACCTGCCCCGCGATCCCGAGGTCGTCAATGATGAGTCCTCTCTCGTCCGGCATCGCTGGAAGTGAAGAGCAGAGGCCGAACTCGAGCGACCTTGAACTCTCTGCGAAGAGAGTTACGTTTCAGGTGGAGCAGGCGGGGTCATGAGGCAGGGCTGCTCCCCGTGTCCACTAGTCTTAAATCTGTTCTGCTCCCAGATGCCTTCCAGAGTACACTGTATTTTGATTCTTGATTTTAAAGCTTCCTTCTTCTCCCTCACTTCCAAGAAAAGTTACAATAAAAAACACCTCATTCTAAACCAAGAGAGAGTGAATTGGGCTTCAGGCTTTCTGGGACTGGTCATGCCAAACTGTCGAGATGTGCCACAAAAAAACCCCGCAAGCTTCTGGCTAGTTCTCCTCTTCCTCCCGTCTCTGGAGAAATGAGTACGTATGGTTCGTAACTCCTCTTAGCTAATGGGAAGCTTTTCATATTAATTGCATTTAAGGGCGTTTTGCACCAGGCCTCAGCCTGGGTCCGAGAGCACAAGAGAGCAATATGGTGGCAGGAGAACCAGCCTGGGGCCTGGCGATCTCACCATCCTGCCTGCTTCTGAATCAGAAACAGAGCCCTTTTCTGAGCCTCTGTGTGCTCTGAGTGCGAGCCAGAGTCCTCTCGGAGGGGAACATCACTCAGCGGTCTTCACCAGCCTCTTCTGAAGAGGAAAGCCTTTGTCCGTCCTGGTAGAGTAGGAAGGAAACCTACTCTTTTGTACTCAGTGCTTCTGTAGTCTTGTTGGGATAAAGATAAAAAGCTACTACCTCTGTGGAGACTTTGCCCAGGGCTCTGTGCCCGGGCCGGGCTGTGGGCAGCCTGGTTCCAGCCGTTGGCCTCGGCGAAAAGAATCCTCCTTCCAGCAGGCCAGGGTAGCCTGGTGCCGTTCTGTCTCCAAGCGGGTCGTCATGTCACATGCTTACTCTTACTTAAAATTAACAAAAGGTGTTTTGGTGAGAAAAGCAAATCCTCTTTCGCTAGCATAGTTGTTTGTGTTTCCAAGTCTCTGGAGGTGGTCTGGGTATTCGCTGGAGGGAAATAGGGAGATGGCTCCATGCCCATCCTTCTGACCAACTCTCAGGGGGAGGAAGACACAAGACATGCAGAGGACTTGAAGGAACTGCTTCTCCCACGCTTTCAGACCGCGTGTTTGCATTTGCAGAAACCCCTAGCCTCCAGCACAGCTGCCCACGTCAGCATAAACACATCTGTGGAGGTGTTTACCCACACGCTTCCTCCCCGGGGCGTGTTTAGTCTTCGGGGATGGGTGCAGTGCTCTCCTTCCGTGGGGAACCTCCCTCCTAACTATCATTAATTTGATAAAGAAATTAATTTCTTCACCCAAAAAAAAAAAAAAGCAGAAGCCTTAACTCATTGCAGTCAGCCTTCTGCGATCAGATAGAATGAGAAGAAGGGTTCAAAGCCAATATCCCTTCTCATGTTCAGTGTTCGCGTTGCCTCACTATTGGGATGAGCTGGAGGTATGATAGAATCCTACTGGAAGGGCTAACTGGAGCGTCTCCTCTGGCTGGATTGTCATTTCTGTTCAAGATAGGCTGCATGTGGGTGTTTGAGCCATCGGCTCTGCTCACTGGACCAGGGCAGGTCCATATTGGGGAATATAGGACCGGAGAACTGTGGGGCCACTCACACGTCATGGTGTCCTTGTGGATGCTCCAGCAGCAGCAGGTTTGAATTGCATCTTAGAACCTGAACCTTCTGGGCCCTCTCCCAGAAACAGTTTGAGTATGGCGTGCATGAAGCCCTCATGACGGTGGGGTAGCAGGAGGGGATTCTGTTACCAGGTACTCATTATGGTGTCTGGTCTCGGCTAGGTGAATGGCAGTAATTCCAAAATACACCTCAGTGTTAGAAATCTCTGGAAGTCTTAATTCTCTCGTCCCATGGGCTTTTCCATCCGTTCCCGTTTTGTGGTCCGCTTTGCGCGGAAGGGAAGGCAGTCCTTCCAGAGCGGACCTTCCCTGTGCTGTGAAAATGCAGACCCCTGAAATAAAAGGAGGGAGTTGCAGAGATGACCCGGTTCATTTGGCTGCTTATTCCTTCACACAGGCGCCTTCTCCAATTTCTCGGGTTCAGTTTCTGAGCTGGGGAACATTTCTGTTACAGCGGATCGGCAGGCGCTGTTCCCAGAGTACATGATAAAAGCACGGCAGATCTCAAGCTAGGCTATTTGAATCAAGTTTGCTATAATGCTCTGAATTTCATATCAGATTTATCCACCTTCTCATCTCCGATGTCATTGGACGTGACATTTTAATGGAGATGCTTAAATTATAAAAGCATAACTTAGCAACAAGAATGAAACAATTGAACGTGGGACATTTTCCTGGCATGCCTTGCTGTCGAAAATTGGACTTTTGAGTCAAAACCCTGGTTAGTGACACCCACCTCCTCGAATTATGTAAATTGATACCGAGCTTGGAAAACCTTCAAGGAGGCTTGCTTTGAACGGAAAAGGAAGTAACAGTCGTCTGAGGGTGTCATTTTTACCTTGTAACCTGCGGAAAAAGCTGGAAGACGGTCCTTTCCTGAAAGCTGCACTTTGCAACCCTGTTGTCAGATGCTGTCAGCCCTCCCATAAGAAATGGATGCTTCTTCATGAACAGTGTTTTTTTAATAGGGTGATTCTTTATATTCTTGATAAGTTATTTGGAAGCCCCACATGAAATCCTGTCTTGAGTAGCTGGAACTGTCTATGAAAACTAGCAAGAAACAAGATGGGGACTGAATCTGATTTTTCTCCACCCTCCCCCTCGGGAGTTTTAAAAAGCACCACCGTGATTGCTGCCAGGTCATCTGGCATTTCCCATACAGTATGTTGTATTTCTTCGGAACCAAAAAACAAGTACCTGGCATTAAAGAAACAGATTCTTGGCATGTGACTTCTGGGAATGTTTTCCGGAACACAGTCCGCTCCTGAACGTTTGGAAAGATTTTACCTGACTGATTGTGAGATGCAGAGGTTTTCGGTTAAGGGGTCAATTTGGAGTCAGTTATAATTCAAAATTTGGAAAGTAATCCCCAGCAAGGCAGCATTAACAGCTCCGCAGAGCTTTGGGTAATAGATTTAGCAAGCAGGTCTGGTATAGGGATTGCATTGTCTTACTGAAGAAGTGAGAGCAGATTATTTCATAATTTAATAGGTTCCTGTGCAAATGAAAAATTCGTCACGTTCCTCTTACCGGGCCCCCGCGTGGTGGCTTGCCAAGTGTGGTTCAGTTCTAAGTTCTGGCCTAGGGCCATGTGATGTCATGGGGAATAGATCACTGCCCTCCCAAAAGCCTGCCATAAGCAACAATGATCGAGTTTTACCAGCTTCTCCTTATTAGGAGGGACCAGATACCTGGGTGGACTCCCAGTGTGCCTTTTTCCTGCACAAACTGATTACAACTGATTACAGAACCGTTCAGACAAAACACTTGCCACCGGTTTTTTTTTTCTTTTTTAGGAAAAACAAACATAAAACATCATAAAATGTAAAATTGGGGAGATAGAAGATTTTTAGGGCCAAGAAAACTCTACAACGACAGAAGCTATTGTGGACATTTCTAGTGGGTTTTAAGAATTTCAGATTTGGACTTAACGGCAGTTTACCAATTAAATGGCAAGCAGGAAAAAATACATTTTGAGAGTGGGGAAGGAAAAGAGAAACATAATCAAAAGTATGCAAAGTATGCAGAAGTGGCTGTTCTGGAAAAGTTGCTTTAATTAATTACCAGAATCCTCAGATTTCTCTCACCCGTAAAGTTGCGTCAACTGGAGATGTGATGTATTCTACATAGCAGCAAACCCCGAACTCCAGGAGTATTCAGGCTGGAGTCATGTGGACAAAGTGAGAATGTGGCCCCTCACGCTTCACCTGAGCCAGGTGAAGGTTGGTTCATTAGAGGAATAGGGAAGGGGATGGTTGGGACTTGGAAGGTTCTAGAACGTAGGAAGGGAGGTGGGGTAGGAAGTCCTATCCCTTGGTCAGCAGGTGTCCGCAAAGGTCTGGGTGAACTGAGGACATGTCCTAGGAAGCTCGTTTCCACCCTTGGAAATGATTTTTTTTTGCACCCCTACTTTTCAGGAACTTTCCAAAGGAACCTCTCAGGATTTATAGTTTATCAAAGAGAAACTTGCTTTGCAGCCATATTTAGGGACCAGATACCTGGGTGGACTCCCAGTGTGCCTTTTTCCTGCACAAACTGATTACAACTGATTACAGAACCGTTCAGACAAAATACTTGCCACCGATTTTTTTTTTTCTTTTTTAGGAAAAACAAACATAAAACATCATAAAATGTAAAATTGGGGAGATAGAAGATTTTTAGGGCCAAGAAAACTCTACAACGACAGAAGCTATTGTGGACATTTCTAGTGGGTTTTAAGAATTTCAGATTTGGACTTAACGGCAGTTTACCAATTAAATGGCAAGCAGGAAAAAATACATTCTAGGCACCTGCGTTCTAACAAAACTAGAGACGCATGAGCTCCCAAGCAAGTCATGGTCCTTAGGCTGTAGGTTCAAGGTTGCGCACTGGGAGGTTGACAGGACAGGGTCCCAACAGGCTGAAGCCCGCAGGGGTGGTTAGCAGTTACCTTTGGGGTCTGAGCATCTGACAGTTGCGTCGAAAGCCAAAGTGACGCAGACACGCCACATCCACCCACCCTGCCGGGGCAGCCCACGGATTTCAGAAAGAATCCGGCAGGTTCCCGACCACATTCCTTCTCTGGGAACACCTGCCGTCAGAGACACTTGGGAGACACTTGGAACATCTTGCGGGGCCATGCCAGCCTGGAGCTCCCCCTCGTCCTAGTCGGAATCCGTGCAGTTCCCTAGGCTCCCCGGGTGTCCTAGTGAACGCAGCCAGGGGCTTGGGCACGCCCTGGCTTGGTGAGAATGTCATCCTGGGGTTAATTCTGAGTGTCACTTGGACACGTGACCTCAACCGATCAATACAGATCCAGATAAATTCAGATCCAGCCCACCCACTGCAAGAGCCGCTCCAGGGTACCTGGCCTTCGATGCTTGAGAGCCTTCACGTGTCCCGGAAAGCCCTCGGGTACTTGGTGGGCACCGTTGGCGAAACAGTGAGTCTGGATGTGCCCAGCTCACATCTCAGGACACAGGACAGGTGTGCTAGTAAAATCCCCATCTCGCCTCTAAATATCTGCTGATCGGCGTTTGCCCAAGCCTGTGGGGCGGTGAGATGTGGACAGCTCCCTTTGCAGAGGGAGAATTATTTGTACAGGATCAAAAGTGGATCAACTGGTAAAGTGGAAACGGTATGTAACACACAGGTGTGCCCCACACCGATCAAGTGGAGTATTTTGCCCATATAGATGCATAATGGTAAATTACATAATTACAAATGATCGGTTTATAAAAGAGGTTTATAGAATGGCGTCGCTAAGGAGAATTGAAGCCTTGAGCATCTTCGAAACCTTCTTTACCTTTGGCGTTTTTCCACAGGATTTTCTTTTCTTTTCTTTTCTTTTTTCCTACCTCCACGGGATTTTCTTCATTTAGGTTGGAATATATGTATTTTTTCATGGGACATGCACGGACCCAGACTACCATGAGAAGGCGAGTGTCTCCAGAGGGCAGGGCTTCCTTTTTCTCGGTTAAATACCATACGTACAGGTCGCTGAAAGTTTCCCATAAAACCGAAGTGTTCGCCTGCTTCCGTCTACCTATTGAAGTAAAATTTCACACAAGCCTTATAATTTCAAAGTTAATGCTTCTGAATGAAAGTTAAAAAAAACATTAAAAGATGATCTTTTCGAGGTTAAAAAAGCTGGTTAAGGATCTGTTTCATCTGTAGTGAAAATCACCCAAAATAAACTTCCTTAATGCCATTTTCTTATATACAATTTTGTGTTCTCTGTTGCTAGGGGTAACAACTTGGAATTGCTTTTTCTCATTTTCCTGATTAGAGATAATGTGTCCTCTAGCGTGGAAGGTGGTACACATTCTTAACAGTGAACTTGGGAATCCTGTTTGGCCTTGGAACGACCTGGAATGTGAGGGGGGCTGCATGAACGAGCTTTCTCTACTTCAGAAAGCAGCGTGTTTAAAAACCGGAATGAGTGGGATTGGTCATGTGCTAATAAAAGCCGGGTTTTTGTAATCTAGGAGGAGGTATTTCTTGCTCTTTCCGCTCATTCGCACAAATAGACTGCAAGCTTAAAATCCCCATGTTTAGTCCCTGGAAGCTGCGACTCGTTTTGTTCTTAAGGGTGACCTCGCTGCTGCCTTGTGGGGTGCCTGATCCAACCGGGGACCTCGCGCACCTCGTCTTCTGAAGGGGTGCTCCGTTAGCAGCGGGGCTTTGCAGAATGTATTTCTGTGTGCAACTTGTATTTCTGAAAAGGCTTAATTTGTTGTTTCCCTTCTGAGATTTCCCTCTGTGTTTCGGCGTGCCATGTTGATTTAAAAGGAGGCTGTGTAGGCCAGCAGTTGGGGTGAAGGGGCGTGCACCCCGGTTGTGCACCTCAAAACTCGAGTTTTCTAAAATAATCTTATTTTTCTACCTTGTATGCACGCCACGAATTTAAGATGTATACCATTGAAAAGGAAATAAAAAGAGTTTGGTTTGTTTGAATAAACAATACTTTCAACCTGTTGGGTTTGGAATTGTTCTGATGCTTTTGTTCAAGTCACACTTCCGAAATTAAAGTCCGTGTCACGTCCTGGTCCACTCGCCTCCACTCCCGCCATACAGGTTCCTGGAAAGCGTCAAAGATAAAACAGAATGTAGGGAGAGTCTAGACCCAATCACTGAGCTGAAAAATCCACCTTGCTTTGGAACATGAGAACCCTCAGGAGTGGGAAGAGACCACATACAGATAAGCACGTTTAAGGGGTCGTAAAGATTGCACAGGGTGTCAGCCTCGTCCTGGGGACTGACCTTGGCCAGGCGGGGGGCTCAAGCTGCTCTGCCTGCACATCCCCCTGCAAGGACGTGGTGTTCTCCGAATCCGACAGACAGACACATGCCCAGGAACACCCAGAGGAGTATTTGCCTGGGAGTGGACCCTGGTCCGGCCCCCTGAGAGCTGACCTCTGCTCCCCACTGTCTCGCCAGCTGGTGTGCTGAGCCGTACCTTCCAAAAGCATAAGGGTCCAGCTGAGTGGGGCAGTTTCTCCAGAGGGATGTTGCCAACTTGGGGGAAGCAGAAATAATGAAGGAAGACAGATGTCACCCATGAGCTGTGATCTAGCTGCTGCACCAGACCTTGAAAAAAAAAACTTCCCTCCATGGTAAGATGGGTTTGGTAACAAGGGGGAAAAAAGGAATTTCAAACCGTTAGGAGGTGAAGCAGGATAGTCACTGGAGAAAGGGAATAGGATGTTTGCTTTCTAATAATGAAAAAGATAATTTGATTTCAGTTTTGTTTTTTTTTTTCCTATGCTGGTTTATCATTTTGCCATTCTTAAGCTGTGGGTTACGTTGCAGATGTGGTTTTGTGTGTTTGTCACTAGGTGGTGCTGTTGTGAAACTTTGTGGAATGACATTTGTACCTTTTTAAAAAATTTTTTTTATTCTGTGTACCTTTGTCGGCAAATTTTATCAAGTGTGTGCATGTAATTATACTCAGCAGCTATCCAAGGATGTTTACTCCTCCATTCTACTCTAAGATATAATCTTCAAAATACGCAGGTTAGATATGTAGTAAATCTTGGGGGTGGTCCCCAAATACCCGTTTCCAGCCCCTGGCCTGTCTTACTTGGCTGCCGCACAGGGAAGGAAACGGAGTCACAGAGAGGTGCCACGAATTCTCCAGGTTCTCACTCAGTGGCAGGTCCAGATTCAAAAAACCACTTTGTCTTGATGACTAGACCTGTGACCTCAACCATTCTGCTACTATCTTTATAAAGGATAAAAATTGAGAATCGAAAGGAAAATTGTTTTTAAAAATTAAAACATGTATGCTTAATGCTACAAGGGAAAATATTGGGGGAAATATTTGTATATTTACACATCTACAAATATATATTTGTATATTTACATATATAAGGATGGAAGCTAACATTTATTGAACAGGAAATTCTGGCCAGACAGATGTGCTGACATTCCATCCTCAGGTCGGGCCCTACCAGGTACACGTCGTTACTGAGAATATTTTTTCAACCACAGGGTGGAAGGCAAGGGCACAGAGAAGACCTATTCAGGGAAATCCAGAGGTCTGGGGAAAGGAAGCTCTCACCCACAGGATGAGAGTCCATAGACCGAGCAAGGTCTTAAGTGTGTCCTCGTGGCAAAAAAAAAATAAACCCAAAAGGCCTGCTGTCCTTTGCATATAAAAATTTCATACCGATAAGCCAAATGTATTAACCATGTCTTTATTTTCTGTATTCTGATGCTTTGACATGGAGTACCTTGTTGACCACAGACAGACTGGTCACACCACAGTATTAGCCAGTTCCCGGAGAGGGCAAGCAGCTCACTTCAGAGTAAACCACACACCTGGGTGCAGGCCTTTCACATGCAAGCCAGGCAGTCCAGAGCTCACAGCCCCCAAATCTCCTTCACCTGGCTCCCACACTCTGGGCCGCTATTCCCTGCCCAGATCACCCCGGGGGCAGGTACCAGGCAGTGAAGGACCAGAACCCCTGCGCCCCAGAGCCTGCTGAGATGATTGAATCTAGCCAAACCTGAGCCTCTCTACCCTGCCTTACCCGTTCTTTGCTGTGGGAACCATAGCGAAGGCTCTTGTGTTCTCCTCCTCCTCCTCCCTCTGCTCCCGTACCCTGGTGCTTTCCGTCGTGGCCCCATAGGGCATGCCTTCCCTCCTGTTTCCCCAGATCTTCCTTCCGGACAGTCACTTCTGCTTCTGCTGTCTTACCATCCCTCATTAAAACAAATTCCAGCTACCCTCGAAGCACCAAAGAAGAACGTGAGAGCCCCGAAGAAAAGCATGCAAAGGCTGTGAGCAAACGTGGACACCAATGGTCAAGAAATAGGAGATGGCTCAGTTGATCTTATAATGTATGCAAAATGTTTACATTGTTAGAAATCAAATGAACACAGCGTTTAATGACAGCTGCCGAAGAGGTGAACAGTCTCCTGCGGGGCTGATGAGGGGGGTGTAAGCCCAAGCAGTCATTCCAGAGAGCCCGAAAAATACCCATGTCGTCTCCGAATAGATACTTCTTTTGGAATCTATACTAAAGAAATAGAAATGCGGGCAAACCAGGAAATAATGTACAGAGAGAGAAGCAGTTTAATGAATAATATGCCAGGATCACATCCATTTTTACTTTTATTTTTAAGAAGATTTTATTTATTTGACGGAGACACAGGGAGAGAGGGAACACCAGCAGGGGGAGTGGGAGAGGGAGAAGCAGGCTTCCCGCCGAGCAGGGAGCCCGATATAGGGCTCGATGTAGGGCTCGATCCCAGGACCTTGAGATCATGACCTGAGCAGAAGGCAGACGCTTAACGACTGAGCCACCCAGGTGCCCCTCACATCCTTTTTTTAAAGAGAAATCTACTAATAGGGATGCATGTGTAAAATAGAAGAATCTATCGAGTGTGCGACGTTTGCACTAATCTGTTACACTAAGTGGGGATCCTGGATGAAAGGAATAGTTTAGGGATTTTTAATTCGTTTATTTTTTTTATTCAAGTCATACATCGACATCATTATTAAAAATTCAAATAATCTCAGGAGGCTTTTCACAAAAAGCAGTGGTCCCTTACCTCACCCCTCCCTGCCCACCTTTAGGTCCTACTATGCAAATCTTGTTCTAAATTTCTGCATTTACTAAGGACCATTTTTGGACTCTTCTTACCCAAGTGTGTATCTGCCTTTGCACCTGTGCCCACTGTTTTAGTTACTGTCACTAGTGTGATTTTAATACAGAATAGGGTTAATATAATTAGTATTTTTTAAAAGATTTTATTTCTTCGACAGAGAGCACAAGCAGGGGGAGCAGCAGGGTCTCAATCCCAGGACCCTGGGATCATGACCTGAACCGAAGGCAGCTGAGCCACCCAGGGGTCCCAATATAATTAGTATTAATATACTATTAATATATAATATCCCCCTGGTTCGTCATCTCATGCAATGTTATATACTTATTCCCGTAGATATCCTCTAGAAACACTGGATGATGTTTCTAAAATTATCTGGTTGAGATCTGTTTTGGAATCGTACTAAACTTTCAGATAAATTTGGAGAGAATTTACATTGTGAGAGGGAGGCTTTGAATCCTTTGGAATGAGTCGTTCCGTCTGGACTTGTCTTCCGTCACGTCCCTTGCAGACTTCATTTCACGCAGATCCACACCTATTGCTCAATCACTTAATCCCCAAGGGTTTTGAATTTTCTGTTGTCCTTATCAATGAGATTTTTTTTAATTAAATTTTAAAATTGATTATTGCTCATGTATCTGAAAGCACCCATTGTTCTGTGTTGATCCTGTAGCTGACCGCATTAGTAAATTTATTGTCTCTAACAAGTTTTTTTCTGCTTTGATTTGTCTGGGGGTTTCTAAGAAGAAAATTATGTCATCTGCAAATGATGGTAATTTTATCTCCTTTCTGATATTTGTGCTTTTTATCTTACGTTCTTTTTTTTTTTTTTTTAACTCCAGTTATAGCATAAAACACAATGTTGGAGCTGTTGTGTTTCCCCACTTTTTGAATAGGTTATATCTTTACGGAGTCCAAAAAATCAAAACAACATATGGTGAGAAATTTCCTTCCCACTCCTGACCTCTTGTTTGCCTGGTGTCCAGCCCCTTCCGTATTGCTCCCCACCTCTGCCGATGGGGTCACCTGCCATTGCCTTCCAATTTATCTTTAGGCACGGACCAGCATATATGTTTCTTTTCTCTCTCCTTTTTAATACAAAAAGGTAACTATATACACCATTCTGCTTTCTTCTTTTCCCCACATAACTTACCTTGGGAGAGTGCTCCATATATTTCTCCCAGATGCGTGGTCTCCCCTGTTTGCTTGTGCCATTCTTCATGTAACCCGTCCCTTGGGGACATCATCTGGGTTGTTTGCCATCTGTTGCTTCTACAAATGTGGCTGCAGTGAATAGCCTTGTACAAACATCATTATGTGGATAGGCCCACGTGTGGGATTAGTGTCCAGGAGGGGAATTGCTGGGTCAGAAGACAGCTACGTTTATAATCCTCATGAGGACTGTGAAATTGCCTTCTGTAAGGATTCTTGCAGATCACGCTCCCACAGGAATGCATGACTGTGCCTGTTGCCCGCTTCTGTCATCAAGAAGCTGGTGGTTAAACTTGCACATTTTTGCCAAGCTGATGAGTGGCAGTTCAGTGTAGTTCTAATTTGCATATATTTTACTATGAGCAACTTTGGACATCTTTCGGCCATTTTTCCCTTGGGCTGTTAGTTGATTTCTAGGGAGCCACCACATAGATATATTGGTGTGCATATTACGGGCTTTCCATACAGAAGTCTCCTTACATGTTAACTTCATGCTATCTGTGTGATTTTGGCAAATTAACCCTTCCCACTTGGATTTCCGGCTGCGAAATCGTGTTCATGCTAAGGCTGCTTGGCAGGGCGGGTGGACAAATGGCCTGAGCTAATCATAGCGTGCTCAGCACCATGCGGGCCACGTAAGAGGCACCAGGGT